TGCCATGTTCATGCATTTGATAAACCATCCCATTATGACATCATTTTGCATTGTGGTTGCATTGCTCATATTCATAACACATTTGTGTACACAGTGATTGCTTGTCCTCCCATGAATGCTTTGCATCTCATTCTAGATCAACTTGATAAGCTTCATGCGCTTTGTCACGACCAATCTTTCCGCACGGACTCATTCTTACATGATGGACACTTTGTGTGCGCTAACCATTGTATTTCCGAGTGTTGCTTGTGTTTGCTCTTTTTGCATGTCTATCACTCTGGCGACTCCTTGGACTACTTGGATTGCGCCATGTCTTCAACTTCGTCCAACTACAAGCTCGTCTACAACAACCGTTTCCATGGTGATGAGGATCACGATCCGAGGTCGGATCTTTCCCAAGGGGGGGGGGGAGATGATGCGGAGCATCCCACGGTCATCCCCACGTACACTCCGACTACTCCCCAAGCCCCAAGAGGACATATGACGAGACCTCGAATATACACCATTGGGCACAAGGTGAACTCTCTCCTCTCTGAACCTTCACTTTCTACATGTGAGACATGGCTACTACCTCATGCATGGACCTTGCATACACTCAGGTACAACCGAGACGACCATGGAAGATCCAAGGACCAAGGCCAAGCATGGAAGAGGAGAAGGAAGAAGAAGCCGGGAGCAAGCGGTACTACCGCCCAGGCCCAGCGGTACTACCGCTTATCATCACAAGCGGCACTACCGCTCTACATCCGCTTCACTCCCGCAAAGTCCGACAAACTTCAGAGATCGAACGGCTCCAGAGCGCTACTACCGCCCATCATAGCGGTACTACCGCTTGCGCGCCTCAAGCGGTACTACCGCCCGAAGGACCGGTACTACCGCCCTGTCTGTGCATAGTGTATTGGGCCGAGCCCATGTACCCCTTCACCCTCACTTACCCCTTCGTGGCTCTAGACTATATATACTCCTCTACCTCCTCCTAGTTAGGGTTAGCGTTGATTTAGCTCATTTGTGAGATAGAGCCTCGCTCATCCATCGGATCTCCTCCTCATGAGAGACCGCGGCCTCTTCGGAGAAGATCCACTTGGATTCAAGGCCCCTTTACGGGAAGATCCCCTCGTGGATTCAAGACCTCCTCTCAGAGAAGAACGGTTCCTTTGTATCCTTACCTTTGTTGATTGTGGATCATGTGTTACTCTTTGTTCTCGGTGATCTAGCACTTGTGTGATTGATTCCTTGTCAGTTTAGTGATTCTCTCTCGTTTTCCCCGTGTTTCCCCTTTGTGCTTCCGCGTGTCCTTCATGATTCTCCATAGGATCCACTCCAAACATGAAAGATCGTCACCATAGGGTTCCGCCCTACATCACTAGGTGCTACTGCTGGCCCACTCGACGGGCCATGAGGGTGTGCAGAAAACTCTCCATCGTCTCCACACCGACTTCTACATCCCTGGTGATCGGGCCCTGGTCCGTGACTGGGTTCGGTCTTGTGTGACGTGCCAGCACAACAAGACGGAGACGCTACGGCCGGCTGGTCTGCTCCAGCCCTTGGAGGTGCCGTCTCAGGTCTGGGCGGATATCTCCATGGACTTCATCGAGGGCCTCCCTAAGGTGGGCGGCAAATCGGTCATTCTCACGGTGGTCGACCGCTTCTCCAAGTATGCTCACTTCATCGCGCTCGGTCACCCCTACACTGTGGCGTCCGTGGTCCGGGACTTCTTCGACGGGATCGTCCGCCTCCATGGGTTTCCCTCTTCGATCATCGGTGATCGGGACCCCGTGTTTACGGGGCATGTGTGGCGCGACCTCTTTAGGATGGCGGGCATGAAGCTCCGCCTGAGCACGGCCTTCAATCCTCAGATGGATGGCCAGTCCGAGGTTGTCAACAAGGTGATTGCCATGTATTTGCGTTGTGTCACAGGTGATCATCCTCGTGCATGGGTGGACTGGCTATCGTGGGCGGAGTACTGCTACAACACCTCCTATCACTCTGCCCTCCGTGCCACGCCTTTTGAGGTGGTCTATGGCCGTCCGCCTCCACCGATTCTTCCGGTTGATCCGCCCACAGCTCGGACCTAGGTGGCTAGGGACCTTCTGGGGAGCCGCGCCGAGATGCTCGCGGAGGTCCGACAACGCCTCCTTCAGGCCCAGCAGTTGTCCTAACACTACCACGACGGTCATCATCACGAGGCGGAGTTCGCGGTGGGCGATTGGGTGTGGCTCCGTCTTCTTCACCGCTCTACGCAGTCACTAGACCCCCGCGCGAAGAAGAAACTGGGTCCTCGCTATGCCGGGCCCTTTGCTGTCCTGGAGCGCATTGGGAAGGTGGCTTACCACCTTTAGCTTCCGGCGGGCATTCGCATCCACGACGTCTTCCATGTGGGGCTGCTCAAGCCTTTCCATGGAGAACCACCCGCGGTCCCTCCAGCGCTTCCCCAGACTGTCAACGGACGTCTTCTTCCTGGACAGGAGAAGGTTTTGCAGGCCCAGCTACGTCGAGGCGTGTGGTACGTGTTGATTCAGTGGGCTGGACTTTCGGCAGAGGACGCCACTTGGGAGCAGTGTGAGGAGTTCCGTCACCACTATCTAGAGTTTCAGCTCAAGGACGAGCTGTTTGCGCAGGCGGGGAGAGATGTTATGACCGGCCGGACCTACAGCCGTAGGAGGCCCACCACGCAAGCTTAGCCCATAAGTTATCTTAGTTTTATTTCATGTTATGGTTATATAAATAGATTGTAAGACTATTTTGAGATTTAAGCAATAAGACTATTCTATTGCCCGGCTCCCCGAGGAGCCGGAAACCCTAAACCCTAGCCGCCACTTGCCTTCGCCGCCGCCGACGACGACACAAGGTAGCGCCTTGCCGCCGGCCGCCGCGCTCCAGCCCACGCCCACCTCCCTCCTTCCCATACCACCTACGCCCCAGACCCGGTAGGCCTCTAGGTTCTACCAGTCACGCACGCACAACCATTATGATTTGCATATTTGCGAAGTTCAGAACGCACTCCCTTTTCTTGGATCAATATAATTCTACCAAGTAGCTAGGGTTCTAGAGCTGATTACAATACTTGGAGAAAAAGATGATGTGCGAGCTACTTAAGGGCAGGAAATGGCCGACGGTAAAGGTGACGGCAGTTAACTGAAGCGCAGTGAACAAGCTCGAGTTAACTGTTATATTTGTCGGACGGTAAACAGGGGAGCAGAGCGTCGACGTGAGCCGTTCATATGGTGAGCTTCAATCGTAGCCATGCATCGAATCGTTCTCTTCCCTGCGCCATTTCTTTAGTCCGTGTCTCGCTGTCGATTTCTTCAGTTAGCATCAAACGGTATTTTAGTCCTTGTCTCGCTATCGTTTCCTATATTACTTTGTTTTTAACAAGAACCGTGGGAGCTCCAAATAGTATTTTAGTACAGTATTTGCAAAATATATACAAGAAAAACTCAAATAGACCACTTCAGTTGAATGTGAAGAAGCCCAGAACAGTAATAGTTGCTGCGAGGGTATGCTATCTATCTATCTCTCTCTCTCTCTCTGAATTTTGTGAGCAGTATTGGCCAAACTTTATCGAGTTCCTAATTTTTTTAGGGCAGTTCCTAACTTTATTTTGCCTCATCGGGAAAATATGTTGAGGTAGGTTAAGAAATATTAGAGATTAGCAATGTCCTATTTCGATAAACTTGGATGTTGAAAAAAAGTTCACTTTTGACTAAATTTTGCATGAACAATGAATGTATTTTTGCACATACTATTCTAACTAAACTTGAATATGAACTAAAATTTTCTCTTGTTGCAACGCATGGGCATATGTGCTCCCTCCGTAAAGAAATATAAGAGCACTTAGATCACTACAAAGGGCGTACTACTGAAATGTGAGAACGTGCTTATGAAAAGTTAGCATCGAGAATCACTGTTTCAACATTCTTGGGGTTAGAGGTTTTGTAAACAACTTCAACATCATGCCTAAGCTGCAGAATCTATCAACTTCTGCCTCCAGTACAATATAAATAACAGTGTTCAGATAATTAGCGTCACAATAATGACCGGCGGTAAAGGCGACGGCAGTTAACTGAAGCGCAGTGAACAAGCTTCAGTTAACTGTTAAATTTTGTCGGACGGTAAACAGAGGAGCTGGGTGTGGACGTGAGCCGTTCGTTAATCTGGCGACCTTCAATCATAGCCGTCCAGCGAATCGTTGTTCTCTTCCTGCGCCGTTTCTTCAGTCTGTGTCTCGCTATCGATTTCTTTCTCGCTGTCGATTAGTCTGACACTGAGTCCCCTCGATCGACCGTCTCCTACCTGGAGTGGACTATCGTTCACTTCCCTTTCATCTCGGACTTGTTTCAGCGACTCCAATTGGAGAACGCCGACACCAACCCCCTACTCGAGGAACAGGGAGGAAGATACTATAAAGGCCTGCCGATCCCCTCAACTTCCACCTCACATCGCACCGCGAGACCAAGGATCCAAGGATCGTTTACCCACTTTCCCAAGGAAAACAATCCAATCGAATCGAGACAAACGTGCGTCCCATGGCGAGCCAGGGCGACGCTAGCGGGAACAAGGACTACTCCACGGCGATCCTGGAGATAAAGAAGTCGCCGAACCGGCTGGTGGTCGACGAGGCGACCAACGACGAGAACTCCACCGTCGCCCTGCACCCGGACACCATGGACAGCCTCGAGCTCTTCCACGGCGACATCGTCCTGCTCAAGGGCAAGAAGCGGAAGGACACGGTCTGCATTCTGCTCCCAGACGGCACGTGCGACAAGACCAAGGTCCGGATGAACAAGGTCGTCCGGAAGAACCTGAGGGTCCGGCTGGGCGACGTCGTCTCCATCCATCAGTGCCCGGACGTCAAATACGGGAAGCGCGTCCACGTACTCCCCGTCCACGACACCGTCCAAGGGATCGCCGAAAACCTGTTCGATGCCTTCCTGAGACCCTACTTCCTCGAGGCCTACCGTCCCCTCAGGAAAGGAGACCTATTCCTGGTGAGAGGCGGCATGACGAGCGTGGAGTTCAAGGTTGTGGAGACCGACCCCGCGGAGTACTGCATCGTCGCGTCTGACACGGAGATATTCTGTGACGGCGAGCCTGTCAAGCGGGAGGATGAGGAGAGACTCGACGACGTCGGCTACGACGATGTCGGTGGGGTCAGGAAGCAGATGGCCCAGATCAGAGAGCTGGTTGAGCTCCCACTGCGCCACCCTCAGCTGTTCAAGTGCATCGGTGTGAAGCCTCCAAAGGGCATCTTGCTGTATGGGCCACCTGGGACCGGCAAGACCCTCATTGCCAGAGCTGTGGCCAATGAAACAGGTGCCTTCTTCTTCCTGATCAATGGCCCGGAGATCATGTCGAAGATGGCCGGAGAGAGCGAGAGCAACCTCAGGAAGGCGTTTGAAGAGGCCGAGAAGAATGCGCCGGCCATCATCTTCATCGATGAGATCGATTCCATAGCCCCAAAGAGAGACAAGACCAACGGAGAAGTCGAAAGGCGCATCGTCTCACAGCTGCTCACTCTCATGGATGGGCTCAAGTCCCGGGCACATGTTATTGTCATGGGGGCTACCAACCGCCCAAACAGCATCGACCTTGCTCTCAGAAGGTTTGGGAGGTTTGACCGGGAGATCGACATTGGAGTCCCTAATGAAGTTGGGCGGCTTGAGGTTCTCCGGATTCACACTAAAAACATGAAGCTAGCTGAAGATGTTGAACTGGAGCATGTCTCGAGGGATACTCATGGGTATGTCGGCGCTGATCTCGCTGCCCTTTGCACCGAGGCTGCTCTCCAGTGCATTCGCGAGAAGATGGATGTCATCGACCTTGAGGATGACACCATTGATGCGGAGATACTGAATTCTATGGCTGTCACCAACGACCATTTCAAGATTGCACTAGGAACAAGCAACCCTTCCGCTCTTCGCGAAACTATCGTTGAAGTTCCAAATGTCTCTTGGGGAGATGTTGGTGGTCTGGAGGGTGTCAAAAGGGAGCTGCAGGAGACCGTCCAGTATCCGGTGGAGTACCCAAAGAAGTTTGAGAAGTTTGGCATGTCTCCCTCCAAAGGTGTTCTGTTCTACGGCCCTCCAGGCTGCGGCAAGACCTTGTTGGCCAAGGCGATTGCTAACGAGTGCCAGGCTAACTTCATCAGCATCACAGGACCGGAGCTGCTTACCATGTGGTTTGGTGAGAGTGAGGCCAATGTGCGCGACATTTTCGACAAGGCCAGGGGGTCGGCACCATGTGTCCTCTTCTTCGATGAGCTCGACTCGATTGCCACGCAGAGAGGAAACAGTGTAGGCGATGCCGGAGGTGCCGCTGATAGGGTGCTGAATCAGCTTCTCACCGAGATGGACGGAATGAATGCCAAAAAAACCGTGTTCATCATCGGTGCCACCAACAGGCCAGACATCATAGACCCTGCCTTGCTGAGGCCGGGGCGCCTTGATCAGCTTATCTACATTCCTCTGCCTAACGTTGAATCCAGGCTCCAGATCTTCAGGGCCTGCCTCAGAAAGTCTCCTATGGCCAAGGATGTCGACCTGAATGCGCTCGCCAAATACACACAAGGGTTCAGCGGCGCGGACATCACGGAAATCTGCCAGCGTGCGTGCAAATATGCCATCAGAGAAAACATTGAGAAGGACATGGAAAAGGAGAGGCGGCTGAAGGAAAACCCTGAAGCCATGGAGGAAGACGAGATGGATGAGATCAAGGATGCTCACTTCGAGGAGAGCATGAGGTATGCACGCCGGAGTGTGAGCGATGATGATATTCGCAAATACCAGGCCTTTGCTCAGACGCTGCAGCAGTCCCGTGGTTTTGGCAGCGAGTTCCGGTTCCCTGACCAGCCGGCGGCGGGTGCTACAGCTGCGGCCAATCCTTTCGCGGCCGCTGCCACGGCAGCTGAAGTAGATGATTTGTACAGTTAAATCGTGTGTTGTCTCTTGAACTTACTGTATTATATTAGGAGTATGCATTTGTAAGAGATAGGAAGATCATGTAACTATATTTTTACGTGCAGTGTTGTGATGTGTATATATGCTGAAGTTTGAAGATTGTATCCTCCACCTAAAAGAAAGAAAAAACCATTTCCTCTCGTCTCCTATTCCAGTTTGTGTGCCAAGGATATATCCATTGGCCTGTGGTAAAGTTCTGTTGTTCTGTACAGGCCCTATCAAAGGGTAATAGCAATTTAGCATTATACGCGATGCCATTTTTCTCTTTGAAATGTACTAATTCGATTCCTTCTCCTACCTAATAAATCTTCTGTCATATAATGCTAAATAAACCTTCTGTCGTACTACACATTTTGTTGTTGCAAATGATTACCTCTACTGAGAAGTAAGAAATACCCCAGCCTCTCTCAATGTTGGCAAATTAGTTCAGCATTACCTAAAAGTCTCTACAATGCACGAGTATCAAATTTTTGGATTCTCTGACAAAGTAACCGAAATAATTTGCAAGGCAGTAGATTATTCATGTTGGTATTAATTAGTTAGTTATTCACATAAGATCCTTTGGCATCTGCTGTCGCGTCAGTGGAAGAAGACGATGATTTATACTACAGTTGAATTTTCTGTTGTGCCATGAACTTACTCTTAAGAAACACAAACCTTTGATGTCCTACTGTCTAATGTCCACGAGTAGAGTCCAATCAGTGTGCCAGGTATTGGCATGTGGTAATTGTTGTCCCTGTAGATAGTACCTTTGCTGCTCCCTTAGATGCTCAGTATTGGCCTGTTTACTTCGATCCATTCGCAATCAACATTGCTCCACCATTTCTGATGTGTGGGTGGGATGACCATGCTCTCAAGCTTTAACTTTGGAAGGACTTTTACCCCAGCTGTGATGGTTTTTTGGTATGAGGTAGAGCAGATTGCCTCCAGCATTAACAAGGTCAAGGGCATGGCTGCCCAGAAATATCTGGCAATATACCGACAGCGGATTTACTCAACCAGCCCACTCTAGAAAAATTATTAAATACATGCTCCTTCAGAAGTTGAGATTTTCCTCTGGCTAGTAAGTAGTATCTCATAACAAAATGATGGCCATGAACAATCTGAGAAGGGGAAAAATGAATAAAGTAGCAGAGGATCGTGCCTTCTGTTCAGAAACAGAAATTGTGCATCTATCACCTACAAACCTTTTCCTATTTCTGTCGTTCCTACATTCCTACGGCATTTTATCCTCTATTCCAAACAGGGCCTTAGATATGTTTTCTCTGCTAGCTTACATTCAAATAGTTGTGCTATCTGATCGGCCTATTAACCAACTGTGTTGCTGAAAACTCCCATCCATGACTTTTTCTGTATCTCCACAATTTGGTGCTTGTTTTGCTATCATCCTGATTGTTCCACCAGACCAGAAAGGGTGACCGGACCTGGCGCCATGTTCTATCCAGTTTCTAGTTTGAATTCCTCTAGATCTTGGGTGTGATGTGACCTGTAAAGGTCATCGAGTTTTGGATGCAAGTGGCAATGCAGGAAATGAAGAGAAAAATAGACTATGGGTGTGATTTTTGCTTGTTTTCTGGTGGAGGGCTTACATCGCCCTCAAGCAGTGCTTGTGCTTTACTCTCTACATTTTTGCTTGTTATCTGATTGATGCTTTGCACAACACATTGTATCCTTGTGCGTTCTATTTGTTGCTTTTTAAGTCGTTGAAATTTTATTTTGGCCGGTAGATGACTTTGTTAATTCAAAGTTGGGTCTTGAACCTTAGTTCTAGTAGAAAATAAAACAAACAAATGCATATTACAACAGATAATCAACGCAAAATACTATGAACTGCCTAGGTCTAGAGCTTGCAAACAGGAAAGTGCCGAAATGCGCACCGTCGCTGTTATGACCGGCCGGACCTACAGCCGTAGGAGGCCCACCGGCCAAGCTTAGCCCGCAAGTTATCTTAGTTTTATTTCACGTTATGGTTATATAAACAGATTGTAAGACTATTTTGAGATTTAAGACACCGCTGGAAAACAATCAGGCGCACTCCCCAGGTCGCTCCCGCGGGCAGCCCGGGAGCGAACCCTAGACGCCGCTAGCGCAGGCCCCTCCGGCCCCTCCTCCACTCGCCGCCGCCGGCGGACGTCGCCGGGCGAAGCCCGCGCGGCTCGGCGGCGGCGGGGCCCTTCCCTCCTCCAGCTCGAGCAGGGGTGGCGCGTGCCGTTCATTCGGGCGGGGACTCGGCGCGGCGCTCGCGCGGGTGCGCGCACCGGCGAGGGTTGCCGTGTTCGGGACGGCGTGGCGAGGGCGCGCAAGGCGCGGCGCGGGCGCGTTAGGTTTCCGGCGGCGTAGATCGGACGCTGGGTCGGGAATCGCGGTGGGGGAGGCTCGGCTCCTTGTGGCGCGGTGCAGGCGGCGTGTGACGGATCTGAGGTTGCGCCTCCGGTGGGTGGCGGCCGCGGGAGCATCGTCGGCAGGCCCTGGGGCTGCGGCCTGGTGGTTTTTGCCCGACGAGTTTGGGTGGGGTTGCGGTCCCCCCTCCTGCCTCCTGGATCTCCATCACCATGGTTCTGGCTGCGTCGGCTGTGGGCGGCGGAGGGGACGCCGGGGCGGCGGCCTTGGTCCGGGCTCCGGCATGGTCGGCGGCGCCCGATCCAGATCTGAAGGCCTCCGTATACTTCAACTAGGGCTGCCTCCAATGGTCCTGCTTTGGGCGGCCTTTGTCGCCGGAGTTGTACCTGTTTGGCGGCTGGAGGTGGGAGGTGGCTCCGGAGAAATCCGAGGCCAGCAGTGCTGGCCACGACGGCGGCGACGCCCGAGGGTGTCGTACCCTTCTTGAAGGCGCCGTCCAGGTTGCCTCCTTCCCCTCTTCCTTCCACCCAGCTCGTATGCCGGGCGAAAGCCCAAATCATTGCCGGATCGAGCGACAGCGGCGCTCCGGGCGTCGTCGCCCTCTTGGGGGTGTCATTCGTGGTGAGCTTGGGATGGATGTGATGCTTTGATTGCTTGGCGGCGGTTGGTGGCGTGGTCGGAGTTCGTCTGGTGGCGGTGCGTTGGCGCTCTGCCGCCTATGTGCTCAGCCTCGGAGTCCTTCTTCCACGGTGCTTGGTCTTCAGCAGCCCCGCCGGACTCGGCGGAGCGGTGCTTCATCCTGCTCATTGATGGCGGCGTATCTCGGCGGCGTGGCACAGTGGAGATTCGGTGTTCGATGTGTGACGATGGACTCGCGCAGGAGGACGAAGTTGTCTGGTGTCGTGGTGACGTTGATGGCTGAGTGGCCAGACAAGGTAGAAGCCTCAATATTTGCTCTGAAGACGGACCTGTGGAAGATGGCGGCGACGACACACGAGTGCGTCGGACCGGTTTGTACCCCAGACCCGGTATGTGGCTCGGCTGGGGCTTCCGGCTTTTGATGTTAGGCTTAGGTGAGTGGTCTGGGTAGTGGCCCAGCTAGCACCCCTTCATATTTCTGATGTTAGGCTTAGATGAGTGGTCTGGATAGTGGCCCAGCTAGTTGTTGGGTAACGTTGCAGAAAATTAAAATTTTTCCTACGGTTTCACCAAGATCCATATATGAGTTCATCTATGCAACGAGTCAAGGGATATGCATCTACATACCACTTTGTAGATCGCGAGCGGAAGCGTTCAAAAGAACGGGGTTGAAGTAGTCGTTCTCGTCGTGATCCTATCACCGGAGATCCTAGCACCGAACGGACGGCACCTCCGCGTTCAACACACGTACGGAGCGAATGATGTCTCCTCCTTCTTGATCCAGCAAGGGGGAAGGAGAGGTTGATGATGTTAGCTCCAGCAGCAGCACAACGGCGTGGTGGTGGTGGAGCAGCAGCACTCCGGCAGGGCTTCGCCAAGCGCGTGACGAATGAGGAAGAGGTGTAGCAGGGGGAGGGGGCGCCAGGACTTCAGGGTGCGGCTGCCCCCTTCCCCCCTCCCTTTATATAGGCCCCCAGGGGGGGCGCTGGCCCTGGGAGATCCAATCTCCCAAGGGGGCGGCGGCCAAGGGGGTGGAGTGCCCCCCAAGGCAAGTGGGGCGCCCCCCCCCCACCCTAGGGTTTCAACCCTAGGCGCATGGGGTGGGCCAAGGGGGGCGCACCAGCCAACTATGGGCTGGTTCCCCTCCACACTTCGGCCCTTGGGGCCCTCCGGGATGGGTGGCCCCACCCGGTGGACCCCCGGGACCCTTTCGGTGGTCCCGGTACTATACCGGGTGACCCCGAAACTTTCCCGATGGCCGAAATATCACTTCCTATATATAGTTCTTTACCTCCGGACCATTCCGGAATTCCTCGTGACGTCCGGGATCTCATCCGGAACTCTGAACAACATTCGGTATACTGTATACTCATATTCATACAACCCTAGCGTCAGCGAACCTTAAGTGTGTAGACCCTACGGGTTCGGGAGTCACATAGACATGACCGAGACGGCTCTCGGGCAATAACCAACAGCGGGATCTGGATACCCATGTTGGCTCCCACATGCTCCTCGATGATCTCATCGGATGAACCACGATGTCGAGGATTCGAACAACCCCGTATACAATTCCCTTTGTCAATCGGTACGTTACAAGCCCGAGACTCGATCGTCGGTATCCCAATACCTCGTTCAGTCTCGTTACCGGCAAGTCACTTTACTCGTACCGCAATGCATGATCCCGTGACCAAACACTTGGTCACTTTGAGCTCATTATGATGATGCATTACTGAGTGGGCCCAGAGATACCTCTCCGTCATACGAAGTGACAAATCCCAGTCTCGATCCGTGTCAACCCAACAGACACTTTCGGAGATACCTGTAGTGCACCTTTATAGTCACCCAGTTACGTTGTGACGTTTGGTACACCCAAAGCACTCCTACGGTATCCGGGAGTTACACGATCTCATGGTCTAAGGAAGAGATACTTGACATTGAAAAAGCTATAGCAAAATGAACTACACGATCTTGTGCTATGCTTAAGATTGGGTCTT